ACGTCTTCGGGAGCCGTATGTTGAGAAGCCTAATAGCCTCCTTGTTCTTGCATGTGCATCAACATTTCATGCATGGCTTGGTTCTGCTGAGTGATGTTCCTCATGTTCGCAGCCATTGTTGCCATTTCTCTAGTTAACCTGGCTGCAACTCCACCTCCGCCCCTGGGGCCTCCTCTTCTGCGCATTGAAGGCCTTGGTTGGGCTATCGGGACAACTCGTGAGGGTTCTCCTTCTTCAGGGCGTTCCCTCGTGTTTCTAGGGGCATTTTCGTCAGTGGAACTCATTTTTTGGTTACGTAATGTACAACTTGGTTCCCTTCTTCAGGGGGTTTCAAGCTCTTTGCCGATTCCTTTTCGCAAGGATATTCATTTTTCAAGGATGAGAAACTCTCTCGGAAATGTATCTTTTTCTTTTTTCACGCGTGTTTCGTGGTTAAAATGTCAGATTTCTCACAGACGACGCCAATCTGTTGACCTCAAAAAATGAAGTCAACAGATACCGGGCCCACCCTTGCCACGTCAAGTAATGATCCGACGCGTTTCTACCGGAGCAGGATCGGTAGTATGGTTGGATGGAACGCGGGGAGGTGATTTCTGGCAAGAGACAACTGTTCGAGCTCCGATGGTTTGATTTACACGGCCCTCACGCTATCTACAAGGGCTCGATCGATTTCCCTAAAATGAATATCTATTTTTTAATGGAATATGTGGAAGGATAGATAAAAGACCTTGTCTTGTAATGTGTTATGATTTCAATATCAGTTGTCTTCCTCAAGATCAAGCAAAGCAAAGTGCATAAATATGTTCTTTCTTTCACCCCCCCTCTTTCTATACCGTCGATCAAATCCACGTGGCGACATCCCCTAGACCGAAGCCTTACATCACTGTCCAATCTTTACAATTAATGTTTGGCAGAAGATCCGTCGTTCTACTTTGTAGACTGATTCCCTGACACACACTAACGCTGCAAGCACTTTATGGCAGATGTCACGTCAATCATTTTTGAGAGATTTTCGAATCTATTATGAGGAAACGTCTGCGCTAAGCATTAGCACTTCGGTCTTAAGGAGCCTCTGCCTTTGAATGAAGTAGCTTCGGACTTAGGAGCCTCTGCTTTCACATGAAGGAGCTTCGGACTCGAGGAGCCTCTGCATGTTGACCTTGCCTGTGTTGACTCTCCCCCTTGTCTGACTTATCTACTGAATACATGGCTGCCAACGTGGTATGCTGACTTGGAGCCATTAATCCTGGGGGGAAATAGTACCTATATCATAAACCAAAGCATGTAGACCCTGAAAGAGATAACAAAACAATTTGAGCACTGCACGAGCAGAAAGTAAAGATACAAGCTACAAAAATCAGCTAAACCTCATCTGGCTTGTAACTAGTTATAATAGCTTCATAGAAGTTATTGTCAGTAGGCCATCTGGTCCTCAATTTCCTTCCAATTAATGTATCATATGAAGCTGCTTCAGCAGGCTCATTTGTTAGACCACCAGAAGAAATATGATTGCCAAATTGACCTCTTCGAGTTGGACCCAACGTAGGATACTACATTTTTATCGAAGTTACACCTACAGGCAACTGACCTTGTAAAGCAAATTAATAACTGAAAATTAAAACCAAAGTATATTCAGCAGGGGTAAACTTTGTTGTCTACTTGACCATTTCCAACAAACTTAACACTAAAAATTATTAACTTATAGATTTATGTTTTTTTGCCCTTGGCTCCCGTATTTGGTCCACGGTTTGCAGATGATGATGGCTGGTTTGCAGTAGCCATTGACTGTGAGTTGAAAGGAGAAGTCGGTACACCAAAGGATTGCGACGGTAATGAAGGGGCTATATTCTGCTTTTTATGAGAAACTGAAACTGGAAGTCTGGAACTGAAGGACTGGGCACTGACTCATGGATAACGTGACTAGAACCACGAATGCCTGGTTGAAGCCCACCTGGCTGTCTCCATTCCCTGATAGCATATTTCAAATATTTATGGAACAAATGAAAGATACTAGAACCTGTTGAAAATAAGGCATAAATTCTACGGGAACAAAACTTGTTAAGGACAAAACCTTAGGGTCTGTTCTCTTTGGTGTTTTCGGGCCGTTTTTTGTTTTCAGTTTTCCAAAACGGTGAAAACGCGTTCTCTTTCCCATTTTTCAAAACGAATTTTAGAAAACACAAAAATAATTTGTACACAAAATGGAAAACAGTCAAAATGCCGTTTTGGCCGTTTTTAGGCCAAAACAATCAAAAATCACAAAACACGGGAAACAGCTCATTTCATCTTCTTCCACTGTGCGTGAGAGAAAACCCTCGCCTTCTTCCTCAACAATCGACCACCACCCGCCACCTAGACCACCAGACACCACTACCATTCGATCCCCCTCACCTCCCTCTTCAACCACTAGTCATTACCTAGCCATGGAGTTACAGAAAACAGCTCCAATCACCACC